TTTTTTTTTTTGTTATCGAAGTTTATGTTCGAATCATGGGTTTGTAATATTGTATCTGGGTTTTAATTGATTCCACTTTTTGAAAAATGTGTGTGATTTGCCATAAAGTGTTGTATGAATTAACTCAGCTTTCAAAATTTTCATCTCCATTGAAGTTTTCTCAGTCGAACTGCATTAGAACTCAGTCTAGATTCGTTCTGATGCTGATAAGTCAATTGGGTTTTTCTTAGTTGATGTTTTGCTTTTCCTCTTTCAGGAAAAAGGTATGATGTGGTAACCTGATAAAACTAGCTTTGACTTGGAGAACAGAAGTGTAGAAAGATAATAATATCACAATAATGGTGTTTTGGGAAGGATATGTGAGTGACGAGTCGATGGGGACTTTTGCCCCGCTAGTCGTGTACTGGTTGTATGCTGGGGTTTATCAGCTGCTCCCTCCTCTAGACAATTACAGGCTGCATACGAAGACCGAAGAAAATGAGAAAAATGTTGTGCCTTTGGGATCCGTTATCAAAGGTGTTCTTCTTCAGCAGTTTGTTCAGGCTGTTGTTGCGGAATTGCTGTTTTTGGTAAATGAACCGTGCTCATTTTGTTCCTTTTATTTCTGTTAGGTATCGTAATTTTAGATCATTCAATAGATGCCATTTTGTTGGCTATAATTTTAAGATTGAAGACATTATTTATTCTTCACAATCCTGAGTCAGAAAAGGGAATTTGATGTTCTCATTGAGGACTGCTTATTTCATCTTCGACTTCGAGGGTCTAAATAAAACTCTGTTTCTTTTACTTTTACTTCCCTTATTTGGGGTAACATAATCCTTTGCATCAATACCAAAGATTATAATTATGTTCTTTTAGTTTCCTTATTTAGAACTAACCTTTTTTATTCTTAGTGTTGCGGGTAACTTCTATTACAAGTTCTCCCGATCAAGGAACTAACCATTTTATTCTTAGTTTTGCAGGTAACTTCTAATGCGAGTTTTCCCGATCAAGCCGCCCAACCCTCTCTCCCTTTACAGTGCATCCAATTCGTAGTTGCCATGCTAGTCATGGACACGTGGCAGTATTTTGTTCACCGTTACATGCACCAGAATAAGTTTCTGTACAAACACATCCACTCCCAACATCATAGATTAGTTGTCCCTTATGCTATTGGGGCTCTTTACAATCACCCATTGGAAGGCCTTTTATTGGACACGTTTGGCGGTGCTATTTCCTTTTTAGTGTCCGGGATGACTGCTCGGACAGCTGTTTATTTCTTTTGCTTTGCTATCATAAAGACTGTTGATGACCATTGTGGGCTGTGGCTGCCTGGTAATATCTTCCATTTACTTTTTCAAAACAACACTGCTTATCACGATGTGCATCATCAGCTCCAGGGTTTAAAATTCAATTACTCTCAGCCGTTTTTCTCGATATGGGACAAACTGCTCGGGACCTATGTGCCGTATACACTTGTAAAGCGGGCAGAGGGTGGTTTTGAGGCAAGGCTGAAAAAAGATTGACTTCGTTTTAGATCTTTTTTTGTTGTTATGCCGTGTGTCGGGAAAGTCTGTTAGGCTCTTCATTAGAAGCTCTGTGTGTTAAAGAGAGTTCTGACCACTGCTTATTTGCCATGACTGTTTTGGTCTAACTGGCTAAGGTTTGTCGGTCAAGTGAACATGTAAGTATTTGGTAGTATTAATCTTATGTTACCCAAAACACCATGATAAGATGTATTGAAGGTAGAATTGTTGATGAAACATTTTGTGTACGATATTTGGGGCTTAATCTCGTTGACGATTAGTCGTTCGACATGTTGTAAACACATAAAGCTGTACTCTTTTCTCCAGCAGGATATTCTTGGGTTGACCTTATTTTTCCATGATATATTTGCAATAATGTGTATTCAACATCTATTTCAGCAATGTTGATGAATGATGGTGTTTTAAAGTTCAAGTGGGTGCAAACTGGAGCCTCGTCTAGGACAATTAGATTATTTTGCTAGACTTGATTAAATTGTCCATGCCTTGCGCAGGTTTCGATATCCTCTTCTGCGTATCATGCGCTGCACTTCTTTCTTGCATTGCAAATGCAATGTCATGATTCAATGAATGTCAAATATCTCATCTTAAATTCTCCCCTTACATCGTGTATAATAGTTTCACTACACAAATGGTACAAATTTATCAACACAAAAACCTGAAGTTATTTGCCACCATGAAAATTGATAAACCAGCAGATTCAAAATTATCAAGCAGTATAAACCGGTTACGAGGAAACATAAAAACCATACTCGATCACCAATAATCTCTGCACGAACAAGATCCTTCCTTGAACCTATGAAACCGAGTACGGTCCCTCACAATAATCTCCCGACCATACAACTTCGAAACAAGCTTGATCACCACATGACAGTCCCCACATATCCGCAGATTCTTATTCACGTTTATAGTGCTCCCCTCATCCGTACTAATCAAACCAAAAGCCACAGCCAATTTCTCACTGTGGTAAAACAGCGAGTTCTGCTTCTCCTCATGCCCTATATCGTGCAGCACGTAGCTCGTCTCTGGTTCGTACCCTAATTCTCGAATCCTAAATCCGACCTCTTCTAATTTCTTGTAGATTTCCCTCCACCTAGGATGGCTCTTGTCCCCATTATAAAATTGGATTATGACACCATTCATCTCGGTGTAGCTAAACCCGGGCACTTTCTTAACGTCTCTCGTTTTCATAACATCCCTCACTCTCCACACATCACTCCATCTCTCGTTTGCAGCATAAATGTTGGACAAAAGCACGAAATCCCCACAAGCACCGGACCCCATCTCTACAAGCTTTTTCGAAGCTTTTTCCGCAATTTCCACATTACCATATATCTTGGAGGCCCCTAGCAGAGTCTGCCAGAGAACAGCGTCTTGGAAAACGGGCATCGATTCTATGAGCCCGTGGGCCTCATCCAGTCTCCCGGCCCGGCCCAACAAATCCACCACAGTCCCGTAATGCTTAACAGTTTTTTCGACCATGGTTTTCTCCATGGACTCAAAGATTCTCATGCCCTCGTCAACCATCCCTGCATGGTTGCACGCGCACAGTACAGCCAAGTAAGTGACACCGTCTGGCTTGGGCCCATCCGACCCATTTGACAAAGTATGAAAGAGCTCGAGGGCTTTGGGCCCGTCTCCATCCATTGCAAAGCCCATGATCATGGTGTTCCATGTTATTATGTTCCTATGGCAATTCATGCCCTGGAACACGCTGAAGGCCCGGTCCACTAGCCCGCATTTGGCATACGTGTCGATAATGGCATTGCAGACGATTACATTTTTGTCCAGGTGATTCTTACGGATGTAATTGTACACTTGGTTAGCCTCGCGTATTGCACCCAGCTGCGAACAAGCGGATAGGGCCCCGACAACTGTTACCTCATTCGGCATCATGAAGCCTCGACTTTCTTGCTCGACCATGGTGTCGAAAAGCTTCAGGGCCTGGTGGGGGCGATTACCCTGGGCCATGCCGGAAATCAGGGCGTTCCAGCTTGCGACGTCTCTTTGGGGCATTTCGTCGAACAGTTGGCAGGCGCCGTCCAGATCGCCGCACTTGGAGTAGGCGTCGAGGAGTGTGGTCTGGAGAAGAACGTCGACGCCGACACCGGCCTTGACGACTGCGGCGTGCATCTGGACGGACTCTGTCCGGGCCAAGGCCCGGGCGCAGGCCTTGAGGAAGAAGGAGCAGGTGAGGGCGTCTGGGCGGCAGGGGGCACGGGACATGGAGAGGTAGCACGCTAGGGCGTCGATTGGGCGGCGGCCCTGGGCGTGGCCGCGGATGATGGCGTTCCAGTCGTTGGTGGAAGGGAGGGGGACGCGGCGGAAGACGGCGGCCGCGTAGGGGAGGCCGGCGGCGGCGGATGTGGCGCAGAAGTCGAGGAATTTGGAGCGGGGGATTTGGAGGTGGAGGAGGCCGGTGGTGAGGAGGTGGGCGTGGAGCTGCTGCGTGAGGGAGAAGGAAGTGCATTTGCGGAGGAGAGATTCTACGTAGGCCATGGGCCGACGAGCAACATTGTAGACGATGATGCTTTGTATTTGAGTTGTGTTTTTTTTTGTTCATTTATATATATTTGCTTAATAAATATTTTTACTATATTTTTTTAATTAAAAATGAATATGTTTTAATCACATTTTTTAATTTTTTAGTATACTATCTATCAGTTTTATTATTATACTTAATTTTAATATAGTTGTTGAAACTAAATTTGGCCTTAGTTTAATAAAAATGCTACACGTGAATATGTATTAAATAAATATAAACATAGCAGATTATTTTAGCTGATTATTTAAAATCAACCGAGTCCCCAAATGTCCAGATCGTCCACGTTCGAGCCGAGCAGAATTAAATATCTACAGCCCGACCCGAATATCGAGAAGATCCATATCTGGTAGACACGATAGTTGGCGATAGAGTAGACATCAACCGAAGCTGTCAAGAGTCACAATTGAGACCCACGATGATATTAAATACTAGTGTACTTTTTTTATCTATTTTTTAATTGGCCCACTTGTGAAAAAGACATGTATATATACTAAGGAGAGAGAAGAAACGTTGATGGAACACTGTTCATCTCCTTCCAAACAAAAAATCAAGAAAGAGCATTACATCTTCATCTTCCAAAAATTACCAAAAATGCATATTAATCCAACATCGATTATTCACAGAATATGGGGTACATTACAATTTCGTTTATCAACAATAGTTTTTAAAATAAAAAATTTTCAACTATTTAATATTTGCTACAAAAACTATTATTTATCTAATTACATGTTTATAATTTAAGCAATTTAAATAGAGAAGTATGATTTCCACATTAGTAAAGTGAATGTGGGGGGAGTTAGCCATGTGCTAGGGTTTGCTCTCTTCGGAGATACTGAGTTCCATGAATTGGATCGCGTCCTCGACCTTCCTGTGTTTTCTCTGATAGTTCTAGGGTTCCCGTAAGCTTTCTCCCTCGGCTTGTTTCTTTGTTAAACTCTTCTCTGTTTGGTTTTGCTCTTGTTTGGGTATTTGGGGGTTTCCTCAGTTTTTATCTTTCTGGTTCTATTAGGTATGGCTGCGTATTCTCAGTTTGTTGGACCGATGTTAACTCTGTTGTGGGCTGCCTATTTCTCTTTTCTCTATAGTGCACTGATTGCTTGTTGCTGCTATTTTATTTTGATTGCATTGTTGTGATTATCTGCATTATCTGTGGTGGGTTTCTGGATCGGGGGTGGGGGTGAGTGTCTTTGGGCTAGGATAGGATTCTGTTTAGTAGAGTATGGCTCAGGAAATATCAGATAAGCTTTCCAATTTTAAGCTGTCTGATAGGGAGGTGAAGGGTGTTGATTTATCTGTGAAGGATATTGCCTCTGGCCTTAAAGAATGTGAACTGGGTTTGATAGGATTAGTTTTTGGAGAGAAAAAGATTAATCTTAGCCTATGTTTGGTTCGGGAGAAACGGACGGGAGGGAAATTTTTATTTTCCCCTTGTTTGGTTCAAGTTTTTTTTAAGGGGGAGGGGTTTGAATTTTCCCTTCAATTCCCTCCTCCAAGGGAAAATGTGCTCCCCTCTAAAAGTGAGGGAATTTGGAGGGGAGGGAAAATTTTAACAACAAATCACTCTTTTGACCTTACTGTGAATTATTATTTTTCTTTTTGTTCCTTACATCATTAAGGATATATTTGTCATTCTAACATTATTTTCCCTCCCCTTCAATCTTCTAACCAAACAAGGTTAATCATTTTCCTTCACCTCCCCTCCTACAAAATCTATCCAAACAAGATAAATTATTTTCCTTCTCTTTCCCTCCCCTCCCCTCCCTTCCATTAAATTCTCTCCCCTCCCCTCCTTTGAACCAAACATACCCTTAGTGGCCTAAAAACCACTCTTAGTAACATCTGGGTCACTAAGAAACCATTCTCAGTCAGAAATCTTGCGAATAATAGATTCCAATTCTTGTTTCAATGTGAAGAAGATAAACTTAAAATCTTAAGAGGTAAGTCATGGACCTTTGATGGCCAGTATATTATCTTCAAACCATGGAATCTTGGTTCCAATGAGTTCACCTCGGATGAGGAGATTATAAAATTATGGGTTCATGTTTGGAATTTGCCTCTGCATTGGATTACTTATGACTCAGGTATGAAGATTGGAAGCATAATTGGGAATCCTCTAGATGTTCAACTTCCTGGAGTTAATAGTCAACTAGGACAAATGCTAAAAATCCTAGTTGAGATTAATGTTAGTGAACCAATACTCAGAGGATTCCATATCTGAGCAGGTACAGAGTCCAAATGGGCGGACTTTAGGTATGAAAACCTTCTGACTTTTTGTTTTTACTGTGGAAAAATTGACCATGCTGAAAAAAATTGTTTTCTTAAATCTGAAGATATCAGTAGTAAGGCTGTGAATAGGGGGCAGTATAGGGAATAGCTGAAAGCTTCTTCATCCTTTTCATCAAGTGAACCCCTTAGTCCCACTAGTACTAATATTGGCACTCAAAGTAGTGCCAAAAACATAAGTGCTAATCTTAATTTAGTTAGGACTGAGAGTGGGCATGAAGAAGGGAGGGAAACTGACTTATCTGCTAAGCAGGATAAGATCATAACTGGGGGGGTTGATAGCAATCAACCTGTTATTCCTAAAGTCCCTAGTCAGTCTCCTCCTTCCATTCATGTGATCCCCCTTGTGCATAATACTTCTGAGAGTGGGGCTTCCCAAGATATCATTCATGATGATGATAGTCCTGTAGAAGTGAGTATTCAACCTTCTGCTGTTGGAGGGAAACTTCCACTGAAGAAGAAAACCACTTTCTCTAGGAAAACCAGACTCAACAAAGAAGGTGATTCACAGAAAATGATCATAGATTCATCTGTGGTTCCTGAGCATAAGAAGGAGGGTAAGAGAGCTGGTAAGAAGGGTTGTGAGACCTTACTGTCTGATAAACTTAGTAGTGCTAATGAGGTTCAGATTGTGAAAAAATTGAAACATACTTCTGTTGATGCTTTGAATGTGGTGGAGGAAACCAGCCCTAACTGGTCCCAAAGTTTCCAATGAAGGTTTGTGTGTGGAATTGTAGAGGTTTAGGGGAACCCTCTACAATTTCCCAGTTCAAGGAATCCCTTAGGATCCACCACCCTGATTTTGCTTTTTTATCTGAAACAAAAAAAAAAAAAAAAAAAAAAAA